AGAGTATGACTCGTCCTCAGGCAGATTGGCTTCCTGATCAGAGAAATAGAATCTAGGGTGAAATGAAACAAAAGTAAATGGAGAAATCTGAACGGGACCAACTAGAGTGGGAGAATTTAGGAATTTAGTTAGACTGCAGCAAAAGAATTCACTGGGTCTCTAGCCCTAGGCTAAAAAATATAGACCTCCAAACCTTAAATGGGAGGGGATACTTAATGGGTCATGTCTAAGAGGAGTCAGGAATGAGTTTAGTGCAATTCTACGGACTTAGACAGAAGTCTGTGTGGCTGAATGTACCAGGTTTAACAGCAATGTTTGTTTTTGATATTATTGCAATGATGTACTCCAGTAGGAGATAAATCCTTGCAGGATGCATGGTTCAAAGAAATACCAATCTTTCAAGAGCATGTTTAAACAAATTTCACTATAAAAGACGACATCTCTGGGACAGCTAAGCAATTGGTTACTTTAGCAGAAAAAAAAAAAAAACTAACCATGTGACAACATGGGGATAAAGGAAAATAAACACAGTGGACATGTTATTTTTTCTGAAAATAAAATTGAGCCATTTTGTTTCACAATCTAGTACAGTCATGTGAGAAATTCTGCTTCATGGTAATCTCAAGCAACAGTTTATTTGTGGTGTGGTACCCAATAGATTGTGGTGGGTACGGTTGTAAATATACAAAAAACATTAAACTGTATACCTTTAGAGGGTAAATTTTATGGCACGTAAATTATATCTCAATAAAGCTGTTCAAAAAAGAAAAAGTAGGAAACAAAAGAAACCAAATAAAAGTACTAAAATCACCCATAATTAATGCCACCATACAGAGATAACTGTTAACATTTGTTTAAGGTTTTCTTGTTTGCTTTTTCTAATTCGTAAAAGTCACATATGTTCATTAGGGGGAAAAGGTCACTTAGAAATGTTTGCTTGAAGAAGAATTTGAAAGATAATTATAATCTCACCACTGACAGACAAACATTTTAACAGCTTGCTGTGCATCTTTCCAGACTTTTAAAAAACATAGATTTATATATAAACCAGTTTTTACAAAAATGGGCTAATACTATGCATACTGCTTTGTAACCTTTAAAACGACATTGTGAGTATGTTATAAACATTCTTTCACATAAATGTTTATGATACAAATATAAATATATTTTAAGTGAATGCTTTGCTCTCAAGTCAAAGATCAATATTCCTAACTTTACTGGAACCCACTAGAATTATTTGCTATCGGGTCAGTTGGATGAACCCTAAGTATCTTTGGCTGCTTTTCAGGTTCGCTCTGACACATTTTATTCCTTCAAGTACGAAATCAAGGAGGGGGATTGTCCTGTTCAAAGTGGCAAAACCTGGCAGGACTGTGACTACAAGGATGCTGCAGAAGCGGTAAGTGTATTGGCCATTCTTGGGCCTTCTGTTTTCTCCGTTGACTCTGCCAGATTTTTTTACTTCCGCAGAAATGATGACTACTGGTGAGCCTGTTTATGAGAAATGCAAATAAACATTCCAATGTGTAGAAAAGTCAGATGCTTTGTATCTGTGTTCTTGTATAGACAGAAAAATTGTGGAGAAGCCAGCAGTTAAACATGGAGAAAGCCTTTCCATGAGAAGGGAGCTGTAGTGTCCAGTCAGAACATGTGGCTCAGACTCCAGAGAGACAACAGATGGACATTTGGGCCAAGCCGAAGGGCTGGCAAGGGGAGGGCCTGGGTGCTTCCATTGCACAACCTTGAGTGCAAATCTTGACTCTGCCTTCCATTAGCTGTGTGATAGCAGGTGAGCTGTGACCTCTCAGAACTGGCACTCTCCACTGTATATGGGAGATAATACTGACCTCATCAGGTTGTCGGAGGATGAAATTAGATGAATTATGCAAATAACTTTGATAACAATGCCTATCTTAACCAAATGCCTAACATATAGGCCTGGCACACCATAGCCGGTTGTTTTGCTTTAATTAAGGAAGACTTCAGACAGTATCTGCCTCGGAAGCAAGCCTCGTTTTTCATGGATTGATTCCCTTCTTTTATGTCAGAACGTAAAAGATGACTGTCAGTCATCTGCGGTTACTGAACAGCACTGAACTCCAAGTCAGGAGTCTAGGAGTTTGCAGTGCTGGTTCTCCCTTCTCAATCGTCTCATCTGCAAGGTGGGGATAAGTAGCTGCTGTGCCCTGTGCTGCCTGCTTCTAGGGGCTGTGTGGGTAAAGGGAGGTGTGCTCTATCCTGATGGAATAATATCTGTCACTTAGAATCCAATGGATATGACTGAAGAATGACAAGACAAAACAAAACAAAAACAGTGTTCAACAATAACAATTAAACAACTGCCTATTGTTAAGTGCCTGCTCTGTGGTGGGCCTCTAGTAGGCAAACACAGCGTGTGTTTGCACACATACTGTTCACAACAACTCTAAGAGATAGATGTGTCCCATCTCCTACAAGATGGGTAAACTGAGACTTTGAGAGTCAAGGGGACATGACATAGGTAACAGCTAGCAAGTGACAAGGCTGGAACTGAAAAACATTTTGATGCCAAGGTCCTTGCCCTTTCTATTAAGCTAAAATGAAGTTTATATGAACAGTATTAACTCACTAAAGTTGAGAGGTAGATAACAGGAGTGTTTACCAGGCTGGTACTAGACCTCTGCACCCATCTTGGTTAGAAAGAAATAGCTCCAGGGCTCAGCCAGGCACAGTGGTTCACGCCTGCAATCCTAACACTTTGGGAGGCCGAGGTTATTGGATCATTTGAGGTCAGGGGTTCGAGACCAGCCTGACCAACGTAGTGAAACCCCGTCTCTACTAAAAATACAAAATTAGCTGGGCGTGGTGGCACGCACATGTAATCTCAGCTACTTGGGAGGCTGAGGCAGAAGAATCGCTTGAATCTGGGAGGCAGAGGTTGCAGTGAGCCGAGATCGCACTATTGCACTCCAGTCTGGGTAACAAGAGTGACACTCTGTCTCAAAAAAAAAATAAAAAAGAAAAGAAAAAGAAAAAAGAAATACCTCCAGGGCTCAAAACAAAGACTCAACCTTTAAAACCTTTTTACACTGTCTTTCCTCCAACATCTTATGAATATCAGTGGCTTATGTAATCATTAGGCTATTAAAAAAACATTTATTCTCATGTCTCAAAACTCTTTTGGATAAAATCTTCACAAGTTCTGTTTTGTTTTGTTTTTTTAAGGAAAGCCACATTTAGCAACAGTACTAGGTAGACTTTCCCATCTGAAAGATTAGGATAAATGATCTCTTTCTTTTCTTTTTAGGCCACTGGAGAATGCACGGCAACCGTGGGGAAGAGGGCGAGTATGAAATTCTCTGTGGCTACCCAGACCTGCCAGATTACTCCAGGTAGCTGGTTTATCCTCTGGCACTGCCCTGGTGGGAAATTAACCGCTTCTGTGTGCCAGGAACACAACCTTGACCAGGCTCTGCTTGCTCCCAGAGGGTGGCAGTAGTAAAGCCATTTGCACAATTAGGGAGCACTGGGTGGAGCGGCAGAGCCCAGAGGGTGGGCCAGGCTTGTGACCATCATCCCCTTAGGACTATCCCAACTCTTCCCGTGTGCTGCATTGTACCCGGTATGTGCAAGGGCTCTGCAGAAGGACCAGGAGGCACAAGACCTGCCTGCCCTCTATTGTAGGCAGCATCCCAGAGTGAGGAGTGCATAGGCTTTAAGGGCAGACCTGGCCTGGAATCTTTCAGAGCTCCTCGCCTTCTTGGCTGTCCTTTTCGTTGTCTAGAAAAGGGAGGTAACAGTACTTCCCACCTCACAGGACTGTCGTGAGGCTGAAATGAGATGATATGTCTGGAGGTATAATCAACATACTAACATATTAATCATAATAACATATTAGCAACAATCAGGATAAAAATAATAGCTAACATGTATTGAGTCCTTATGTCCCAGCCATGACTCAAAGCTCCTTACATGTATTAACTTCTCCTTCTTTTTTTCTTTTACTGATACATTATATTTTACATATTTATGAGGTACACGTGAGTGTTTTTTACATGCGTTGAACATGTAATGATCAAGTCAGAGTATTTGGGGTACCCATCACCTGGAATATTTATCATGTCTATGAATTGGTGATATTTCAAGTCCTCTCTTCTAGCTACTTTGAAATATACAATATATTGTTGCTAACTATAGTCACCCTAGTCTGCTATATAACATTAGAACGTATTTCTTCTATCTAACTATAATTCAGTACCTATTTTACCAAGCTCTTCATTTCCCCCTTCTACTTCCCTGCCCTGCTCAGCCTCTGGTATCCGTCATTCTCTTCTCTCCTCTATCTCCATGTGATTAAGTGTTTTACCTTCCAAATATGAGCGAGAACAATGTGCGGTTTGTCTTTCTGTGCTTCGGTTGTTTCACTGAACAACCTCCAGTTCTGTCCATGTGGCTTTAAATGATATGATTTCATTCTTTGTTTATGGTCAAATAGTATTTCATTATGCATATATACCACATTTTCCTTTTTTTTCTTTTTGAGATGGAGTCTTGCACTGTCACCCAGGCTGGGGTACAGTGGCACGATCTTGGCTCACTGCAACCTCTGGGGTTCAAGCAATTCTCCGGCCTCAGCCTCCTGAATAGCTAGGATTATGGGCACCCGCCACCACCCCCAGATAATTTTTGTATTTTAAGTAGAGATGGGGTTTCACCATGTTGGCCAGGCCAGTCTCGAACTTCTGACCTCAGGTGATCTGCCCACCTTAGCCTCCCGTAGTGCTGGGATTACAGGTGTGAGCCACCGCACCTGGTCCCCCACATTTTCTTTATTCATTAACATTTTGATGGACACTTAAGTTGATTTCATATCTTTGCTATTGTGAATACTGCTGTGACAAACCTGGGAGTGGAAGTACCCCTTTGATAGACTGATTTCTTTTCCTCTGGGTAGATGCCCAGTAGCTGGACTACTGGATATATGGTATTTGGTGTTTTCATTTTTTGAGAAATCTCCACACTATTTTCCATAGTGGTTGTACTAATTTACATTCTTACCAACAGTGCATAAGCGTTCCCTTTTCTCCATACCCTCCTAGCTGTGTTTGCCGCTTACACGGCAAGCAGCGAGAGCTTGGTGGGTGAAAAAGCCCGGGCTCCCAGGGGGTCCCTCCAGGTGTGCTGCTCACTCTTCAGCTACGTTACCTTTTTATGGACTTTGCCTCTATTGACCAGTAGGTTAGGGCTATCTGTTATGAACATTACTTGGTAATTTAATACAAACTCTTTTTAATAATAGCCATTCTAATGGGTAAGATGATATCTCATCTCATAATGGTTTCGATTTGCATTTCCCTAATGCTTAGTGATATTGGGCATTTTTTCACATACCTGTTGGCCATTTGTATGTCTTCTTTTGAGAAATGCCTACTGAGATCCTTTGCCCACTTTTTAATGGGACTACTTGGTTTTTTAATTGGTGAGTTAATTAAATTCCTTGTATATGCTGGATGTTAGTCCCTTGTGGGATGAATGGTTTGCAAAAAAATTTTTTTTCTTTTGAGACAGAGTCTTGCTCTGTCTCCCAGGCTGGAGTGCAGTGGCATGATCTCGGCTCACTGCAACCTCCATCTCCTGGGTTCAAGCAATACTCCTGCCTCAGCGTCCCGTGTAGCTTTGACTACAGGCATACGCCACCACACCCGGCTAATTTTTGTATTTTTAGGAGAGATGGGGTTTCACCATGTTGGCCAGGCTGGTTTTGAACTCCTGACCTCAGGTGATCTACCCGCCTCTGCCTCCCAAAGTGCTGGTTTTACAGGAGTGAGCCACCATGCCCAGCCTCTTCTTTGTTTAGGGCAATGTATGTGAATGCTGATTGTAATCATTAATGCTGCGTTTTTGTCTGTTCTTTGTTAAGCCGAGGGCCCTGTGGTGACAGCCCAGTATAACTGCCTCGGCTGTGTGCATCCTATATCAACGCAGAGCCCAGACCTGGAGCCCATTCTGAGACACGGCGTTCAGTACTTTAACAACAACACTCAACATTCCTCCCTCTTCACGCTTAGTGAAGTAAAACGGGCCCAAAGACAGGTTTGTTCTTTAATTCTCTAGGTCACCTAGTATTACTAAAATGTGTTAGATCTTTACGTTTAAAATGTATGATTGCATGGCTGGTGGTGTTTTCATGTGACTAGCACAGGAAGCAAAGGGCTTTCTCCTTAGTCAAAGTGAGTTGGATACTGCAACATGTAAAGTGAGAAAAGATGTCTAATCAGACCCCCTTCCTTTGACGTTTGATTTTAACAAATGGGTAATCGTCATTACAGGCTCTTCCTAGAGA